TTCAATCGTCTCCTACTTTACAGTTCTGCCAGACTCCTGACTGCCATGGCCCGCAGAGCCCAGGGAGGCGAGGTCCAGAGCAGCACGCCCACTGGGCAGTGTTCAGCTCAGCAGCGGCTCCCGCCAGCAGTTTCTGTGCACAGGTCACATCAGTCCAAGACGAGCGTGAAGAGTCGAGACACATCAGGAACAGGAAAAGACACTGCTCAAGAACAGCTCCATGCCAGTGAGGTCACTGTGTGTGTAGAGAAACCAATCCGAAAATCTGGAAAGGCTGGTATTTGGATGACCTCAACACTCCTTGCGCTACTTTTTAAAAAACCAAAGTTAGATTTTCCCAACAACTAGGATGGGAAACTCTGACAGAGTCATATATCCAAGACACTGCAAATGATTTATGTTTGAGTCTGAAACATCTGGAGAAGCGCGTCACTTTTGATCATTAACATACCAATCACCCACTTGTTCCAGTCACGAATGGGCAGAAAGATTTTAAAGGTAGGCAAGTAGAAGGTATGAACTCAAACCTTATGCCGCACCCCCGCCCCCATGGGCCTGTGTGGCTGCATTCCAGTGGGTTCCCCATGATGTAACTGTGACAAGCTGTGACAGGAGAGACCACACAGGGAAGAGGGCTTCCCCGGCAATGCTTCCCTTGTGCGTGCTCTGCCATCCACCGCCCTCAGTGACGCCAGAACAAGCAGGGAGCCTGATCCTGACTGACTGTCCCCAGACTAAGAACAGAGAGAGAGAGAAACCACTTCCGTTCCCAGTGAGCTCCCTCAGGTATCAAAGCTGTGAGAGAGCTGACAGGCCACCCAAAGAGGCAACGAGAGTCCTAACCCGGTGCCTGCTCATTTCCCATCTGCAGGATGGGCACGCTCCTGAATGTCGGTAAAGGCCTTTAGGCTCTTGTACCCAATGTATGTTCTCAAAGGGAGGGCCCAGATGAGAAGAGCCAAGATCCCAGCATCGTAGGCATGTTCTTCCATCTTTTATTTTGGCCATAATGTAACCCTTCCCCCTCCCCCGCTATATGTCACAGGGGAGACAAGGGGGGAAAGAACACTGTTCCAGCAGCTGGCTGGCAACGGCAGGAACAGGTGTTTTGTTGGGTGGAGGTCATGGCCTGAGTTCTGGACCTTGTCTCCCTGCTTCAGTCCTTCCTCTCTTAGTCTGAACTTCACATGATACCCAGATGGAAAGTCTCCAACCCCACTACTTCTCAGCTTGAATTCTGCCGTGGCCTATCACCTCACTCAGAAAAGTAGCCAAGGCCTTTTAAAATTGCCTCCCCTGGTTACTCTTAAGTTCTGTGGCCACCCCAAGGCCTTTGAACTTGCTGTCCCCACCACCAAAACTGCTCTTGCTCAGTAACATGGATTATTCATTTGCTTACCTCTTGTGCTTTTGCTCAAATGTCACTTTGTCTTTGAGGCTTTTGCTGGCTTATTTAAATTGCCAACCTTTTCCTGCCCCTTCCTTAACCACTTACTAGCTAACACACATTTCTGCTTATTAGTCATATTTATCAGCTGAGAGCAGGGGCTGTTCTCTCTACTTGTAATTTCTTAGCACACAGAACAGTGCCTTGCGCATACAAGATGATCAGTGAAGTCCTTGGGCAAACATGAATGCACCCCCCTCTTTTGCGTATAGTCAGGAACCCTCTTCTTGTCCTGAGCACCCCAACCCTTGCCACAACAGTCCACACACAATGGCCAGAAAGGAGGGGGTTAAAATCCATACCAGCTTAAGACCTTGAGCTTCAACCCGAGTTGGGAAAATCCAACTTTCCTCTACCAACCAACAAGGCACCACTGTCCCCTCCTATTCTGAGCCACTGTCACTTTCTTGCTATTCCCTAGAGCACAGAGCAGGTGCCAGCTCTCCCCTCAGCCTGCAAGACGCTCCCCGAGAAGCCACTGAGCAATCTCCTTAAGAGTCAACGCCAGAGCCTTTTCTAGCCACCCTTAGTAGAAGCACCTAACTCCATTCTCCTCCAGCACTCTGCTTTATGCCCAAGACGGGTACTACCTGATGTGGCACAGGCTCAGCTAAGCCCCTTCACGTTTGTCTAGTTCACTGGCCATGTTTCTAGTGCCTGGTAATTGCTACTACTCAACAAACGCTACGGGAAGGAAAAGGGGCTCCATCAGAGAGCAACCCAGACAGGCATGTGGCAGCCTGCCCCACCCGTCTAAGACTCCCCACACCAGGGGAAGCCACCTCAGCTCCTCTCCCCATCCATCACCTTACCAGCCCAGAGACATCCTGCAGAGGACACAGCCAAAGGACTTGGGGACAGAGGCCAAGGCAAAGTGACCACAGCCACCCAGAAGCTCAGCAGCGCTCTGGACCTGGAGATTGGGAGCTCTCAGCTTTTCCCAGCCAGAATTCAGAGCACTCGGGGTGCTGGAAGCCCAATCCCAAGGACAAGCCGTCCGGCTACCTTGTAGGAGGATAAAAAAAGAACTTCGATCCACTTCAGTCTGTGCTCACGGTGGCAGACACGTGGCCTGCTGATCTGAAAGGAACTGAGACCTAGCTGAGCCAGGGCATGCTCCACCACAAGGATGACGCAGCTCTGGAGACAGGGAGGGGCCGTGGGAACCTCAGATCCTTGGGGCACTTCCTGGGTGGACACACTCCCATGGCAAGGCCTGCTAGGGCCATGCTCCTAGGAGATGCTTAGCTGGTGCCACCTCATCTTCAGGCACCTCTGGTGGGGCAGGTCTCTCCCTGAGGCCTTGCTCACTCCCATGCCATGCACTGCTGGAGGTCACAGCCACCAGTGGCACTTAACACCTCCACAGGGTAACACTGAAACAGTGCTGGCAACCCTGGCATGGTGGAGGACAGCCTGGACTGGGGACGCAGGCAACTTTCACCGTGTGTAGCAACAGGAACACACACCTGAGGCAGCCAGGCAGAGCAGAGGAGCCCGAGGGCCACCATGGACTTCCTTCTCCCTCCCTGGGCTTCCTGCTTTTGAAGACATCTCTGTCCCTCCCACTCCCGCCTCTTAATGATAACCATCCTTCTGCTCCCGTTCCCTGCAGATGATTCTGTTCCCGGTGACTTAAAAGGCTTTTACTGCTACAGATGAGATCTCACAGCACCTATCCCCCTCCCCCCGCCCACACACACCCACAGGGGAACAAAGGCGCCTGCCCGTCCAGCGGCTCCAGGACCGTCCCCTCTGTGAACAGGAGACAGCCGGTTTCTCACTAAGGCGTCTTTGTAGAGCTTATCAAAATGAAATTAAAAAGAGAGCGAGCGAGTAAGCAAGCTTTTTGTGCTCAGGCAGCCAGGCCCTGCTGCTGCTCTGGGAACATGTGGGTGGGTGCCACCGCGAGGCAGACACAGACTTGAAGAGGCACTGGGAGCCTAATGGGGTTCATAGTCCCACAGCCATCTGTTCCCTTAGGCAGACACCCCAGACACGTTGGACGGGACACCTGCCCAGGGTCAGGCACCGTGAACCGGGGACCTGCCACCCAGCTGCTGTTGGGCCTGGCCAGTCACATCAGAACACAGGTGAAGCAAGGGTCAGGGGCACCAACATCACTGAGCACCCTGGGGTTCTCGTGAGGCCACTTACCAACTGAGGGGGGGGCAGCAGATACCTCCTCACCCGGAGTCCCCGTGGGGGACTGGAATGAACTGCCCACTCACCCCACTTCTGCAGCAACTGGCCTCATCCATCTCATCAGAATCAAGTGTTCCCTCCACTAGATCAACCGCCCAGGCTCAGGTGCTTTGCTATTGAAATGTCAAACTCCCTTTGCAATTTCTTTCACAGCCAGAGACCCCCCTCCAGTGGCAGCCTTTTTAAGGTTCTAGTCCTCCGCTCCTTCCACCTCCCGCTCCCATTTCTACCCATGGAGAGAGGCCAGAGACACAAAGGGGCACAGGCAGGGGGGATGTGAGCTGGCTTTTGTCCCTTCCCAGTTAAAGTCCTTTCCTTGCAGACCTCCCTCCCCTCCCCAGGATCTGAGAGAGAAGGACAGAGCATATCCCTGGGCGGCTGGGTCAGAACCGCCCAGGAGGAGGTAGAGGAGGAAAAAGGGCGGAAGGGGGAAGCAAAAAGCAGAGGAAAGAGGAGGAGGACCAGAGGAAGGCAGGGAGGGGGTGAGAGGGGGAAAAGGAGGGGGAGGAAGGTTATTCATATCAACAACTGTGCTACACCAATCGCTCCCTCCTCCCGGGCCCAACAGCCATGGAGTCTGCGCCAGCTCAGCCCCCTCTGCCCCCCTCTCCAGGCCAGGAGGACCTTGTAAGGGCAAGGAGTAAAATGATGGTCCTAAGACACCCGATTCCAATGCCTGAATCCTGGCTGGGCTCTGGCCTACCCTCCCTGGGCCTCCAGGGTCCCTGTCTTTAAAATGGGCATGACAAAGATCACTGCTCCTAGAAGGGCGGTACAGCTTTCCAGGAGCTTGCACCGCCACTGCCACTGAGGCTTGCATTGGATTTATAAATGGGCTCAAAGTGGGCCAAGGAATAGAACCAGAACGGTCTATTTCCTCCCAGACCCGGCTGAGCCCAAGAAATGACGTGAGAAGTGGGCCAATCACCTTTTCACCGCGAGTTTCCGAGTTGTGCGAGGTGAGGGGCAGCTGGAGCACGGAAAGGCTACACAACCTTCTCCGGGGTCCCTGGTCAGGGCTCTGCCAGTCCGGCATCGCATGTGACCTTGGGCAAATGACTCTGCCTCGCCCCAGCCTCAGTTTCCTCATCTGTGCAGTGGGCACAATGGCAGCGAGGTAAAGCCTCGCCCGCGGTCAGCGCTCAGCACCCGCCGGCTCGGACCGTCCCAGGTTCGGGAGGCCCGAGGCTGCCCCGAGCTGGGGCGCAGCCACCGCCCAGGCCTCCGCCTCGGGCCACGCGGGCCTCGCCGCCGCCACACCCCGGGTCCCCCAGGCCGCGCCGGCCGGCCACCCGCAGGCTGGGGTGTGCAGCCTGGGCTTCCCACCCCGCGGTCCCGCCCGACTCACCGGTGTAGTGCACCACGCAGGTCTGGCCGCGCTTCGGGAAGGTGCGTCCTGCAAAGACAAGACGGACGGACACGGTGAGCGGCATGCGCACGGCGGCGGCGGCAGCCGGGTCCGCCCACGCGGCTACTCACCGTCTCCGGGGGAGATGGTCTCCACCTGCACTCCCATGGCGGCGGCGACGGACGCTGGGCGGGCAGCGAGACGGAAAGCGTGCACCGAGCGCGGACCTGGCAGCAGCACCGCAACTCGGCTCTTCCCTCCGCGCGTCGCTGCGCACGCGCGCGCCCCCGCACGCCCCGCCCTGCGTGCGCGGCCCCGGCGGCGCGCGCACGTCCCGGAAGCCCAGGGCTTTGGGTTGGGGGAGGACCGGAAGCCCCGAAGCCCCGAGGCCTCCGGATGCAGCTTCCCCCTCTCCGCCTTCCTTTGTGCTGCGCTTAACGAAGTTTCCGCCTCTGGAAAGAGGAAGTGGGGGTCCGCCAGCTGCCACCTTGGAGCTGGTTTATACCTCAGGCCCCGAGTCAGTCATCCTGTAAAGAGGCGAGTTGTCTAAAGTCAGTGCAGTTGCTGGGCACCGTGTTAGCATTAAAGCATAGTCAAGGGCCCCCACTTTTCTTTTGGTCACTGGAGAAGGAGCCAGTATTTACAGTGCCTTGAATGAGTACATGTCCTCTTTGGCCTAGATTCATTGAAAACATTACAGATGTTCTGGAACGCCAGCTGTATGCCATTGGAGCCCAGAGAACAATACTCTTCCAAATATGACTTTAGTTTCCGGTATCCTAAACATTTCCTCTGTAGGAAATGCTTGTAGGGCTTCTGCTCACCCGAGGTAGGGAGGGTCTCCTTGGCATTCCTGTATGTACACGAGGACTAGACTGAAAAAGGTACAACCCAATTACTTCCATTCCTTCCGTTCCTATGCGGAACTCCCATTATCAGCTCAAGAAAAAGGAGAGAAACTACCACTGGGCAGACCTCCCGTGCTAGCCCCGAGCTCATGCAAATGTCAAAGCCTGTTTCTACAAGCTCATCTCTCTCTTGCTCCTGGATATCTGTTGTTGTCCCCAATCACTGTTCTTAGTTCTTCAGAATTACCTACAGTTCCTTTTTCTCCCAGACCCCTACAGAAAGGGCCTGTGTCAGCTCCTGATGTTAGGCTGCAAAGGGAGCTGTTGCACTCCTGTGAGTTTTCCCTGTGCTGTGATTTTCCTGCCTCCTTTTGCATATTAATAACTCTGTCTACGTTTTTCCCTACCTCATCTTTGTTGGGTCCTGTGAACCTTGAGAGCTGGAGGGGACATTTCCCTTCACCCCCCATGATGTCGTGTGCTACACATTGGGGTTACAGCAGTGAAGGCCACAGGAAGACCTCACAGGACTTAGATTCCAAGGTGGGGTGGACAATCAAATGATCACATAGATCCCTGTAGCTTTCACATCTCACAGATGGATGGCAAGACAGTGAGATGTGGCCTGTTGTATGAAGGCTGTGTGATGGGGCTGCTTGGCTTCCTGGAATTAGCCAGTTTGCCAATTTCTGAAGGTGTTGACCAGCTGTGTGTGTGTGTGTGTGTGTGTGTGTGTGTGTGTGCGCGCGTGTGTGTGAGATTTATGGGACCAAAAGGAGTAGTACAACTAGAGGCACAGGGACCCTGAGGGAGTGTTACAACACAGCCTGAGACCTGGGTGGTGGTGGACTGATTGTTTCCCTGCTTTCCCTGTGTTGCTCTTGTGGGTAGCATTTTAACTGTGACCCTGATGTTCTTCCACATTCTTCCTCTCCTATATGCCCCCTGCCTGAATCTCAGTGAGTTTGTGAGTGCTTTGACATTATTTTGTTTTTATTTTTTATAATTTTCACTGGAACAGAGGCTATAACAGAAACCACACTGTCTGTAGTTGAAGTGAAACAGAAGTGGCTGTCTCATGTGACCTTGAGAAGCAGGTGGTTCCGTGTAGGTGGAGATTCCCTGGGCTGCCTCTCCGTGGGCCACTCCATCCTTGGGAATCTGCTCTCATGTGTGGAGGTACGGGGACCAGGATAACCCTCCCACGTGGTTTGTCCCAGCTGGTGGGAAGGAAGTAAAGAGGCTCGTGGGGGACACATTCTCTTTCCTGTAAGAGCAAGGCCGAGAAGGTGTGCGCCTTTGGCCTCACTGACTGCAACTGAGTGGTAGAGCCACATATAGCTGTGATTATCTCAGGGTCTTCATTCCTGGTGAACACATGACCAACTGAAAACCAGCAGTTCTGGGCCTTTAGGAGGGAAGCAGAGACACTGAGGCCAGCTAGGGCACTGTCCTTGCCACTTAGAGAAATCGGACTATGGAGTAGATAGATGACAGAGAAAGAGAGCATCCCGGAACAAGAGCGCTCCTGCGTGTGCTGCTCCCTGAAGGCCAGCAGGGTGAGGCTCACCACTGGGGGTTTACTCCTAGCTCTGAGTGTGGGACACAGTGGGTTAAGCTGCTACGTTGATGCAATGCCAGCACCTCCTGTGGGTGCTGCTGGATGAGTCCTAGACACCCCACTTCTGATGCAGCTCCCTGCTAGTTTATCTGGGAAAGTAGCAGATGACCCAAGTGTTTGTGTCTTTGTCACCCACATGGGAGATCCAGATGGATGTCTAGGCACCTAGCTTCTCCCTGGCCCAGTCCTAGTTGTTGCAGCTATTTGGAGAACAAACCCGTAGATGGAAGATTCTCTTTCTCTCTCCTTCATTACTCACTATAACTCTTTCAAATAATTTTTTAAAGAATTATTTATTGGGCCTGGCACGGTGACCTAGGAGCTAAAGTCCTCGCCTTGAACACGCCAGGATCGCATGTGGGTGCCAGTTCTAATCCTGGCAGCTCCACTTCCTGTCCAGCTCCCTGCTTGTTGCCTGGGAAAGCAGTTGAGGATGGCCCGAAGCCTTGGGATCCTGCACCCACATGGGAGACCTGGAGGAAGTTCCTGGCTCCTGGCTTCAGATTGGTGCAGCACTGACCATTGTAATCCCTTGGGGAATGAATCATCGGATGGAAGATGATTCCATCCTAAGGGTCCTACAGCTTTGTGCTATCCTCTGTTGTTTTCTCAGGCCACATGCAGGAAGCTAGATGTGAAGTGGAGCAACTGATATAAGAAGCAGTGCCCACAGGGGATTCTGACACTTGCAAGGTGAGGATTTAGCCACAAGTTACCGCACCAGGCTCCCAAATAAATCTTTAAAAAAAGAGATTAATGAGATAATTGCAATATTTTTGTCATTTTTGCATTGATATTTGTTGATTGAATCCCATATGAGTTGGGATTGTCCTATTTATCCATCAAGTAACTTTGGGTTATCTCAGACGTTTTGAATACCATGAAATAATATTCAGAATCTTTTTAAAGATCCTATGAAGAATATCTTTGTTTTAGGGATTGATCAGATGCAGCTCAGGCTGTTAGTTGCAGCTCCCCTTGTGTGGGTTGTGGCTTGAATGTCAGCTCTATTTTTAAAATCTTTCCAGTGCCACTTGGATCTGTGTGCTGTACATGCCACTCAGTGGTCGATCTGGGACCTGGGCAGTAACAGATTCTTTAGTTAGATTCTGAAAGTTTTTGTAAGGTTTTTAGAGTTTATATTTACACAGGCAAAACAGGTAGATGAACCCCTAAGTACTTATCTACACTATCAAGTTGATTTCCTAAGCTCCTCTGTGATCTCAGTACATCTTGGGGGTTCCCCTTCTTGGGACTCAATCCAGACTAAAGCCGTTGATCCAGCTGTCTCTCAAGGCTGTCCTTGCGTTTGGAACTAAGCAGTAAGTAAACAGAGAGAAAGTAAAAGCAAGAGTAGTTTGCCCTGCCCTCTTGGGACCCTCGTTCCTCTGGTTTGGAGACACGTGCCCTCCCTCTCAGCTTCAGCTCTTGCAAATGCACACCATTCTTTGTCGCTCTCATGACAGTTTCTTGGGGCTTTGGTTGCAAGCAGATGGAAAACAAACCAACCATGGGGAATTTCCCCCACTGTGGCCATGAAGAAGCGGTTTCATGCTTCTCCCCCCGCAGTTAGAGGGCTGCTCATGTTGTCACACTCTTCCCTGCATTTCCTGGTTTCAAGATGCATTGAGTCCATGAAAGGTAAACTCACATCTGCTTAGTGGTATTTCAGATTCTGGTTTTGTCCTCCAATCTGTCTGCTACCGTTTATTTTCTAGAGTTTTTTAGTACCTACTCCAGGCATTTTGTTCTGAATTTGTGGGTGTAGTGTGCTTACCCAATGTTTTATGAATCAAGCCCTAGCTCCCTGGACTTGTACAAAGTTCCTCTGGGACTAGCATTGTGGTGCAATAGTTTGAACCACCTGTTGCAAGGCCAGCATCCCAAATCAGAGTACTGGTTAAGGTCCTGGCTGCTCCACTTCCAATCCAGCTCCCTGTTAAATGCGCCTGGGAAAGCAGCAGAAGATGGGCCAGGTATTTGGGCTCTTGCTACCAATGTGGGAGACCTGGGTAGAGTTCCTGGCTCCTGGCTCCTGGTTTCAGCCTGGCTCTAGCCCAGCTAAAGAGGGGACCAGTGGAAGATCTCTCTCTCTCTCTTTCCTTTTTCCCTCCCATTCTGCCTTTAAAATGAAGAAGGAGAATATTTAAAAAACTCAAATTAAGGGCCCGGCGCGGTGGCGCAAGTGGTTAAAGGTCCTCGCCTTGCACGCCCGGGATCCCATATGGGCGCCGGTTCTAATCCCGGCAGCCCCGCTTCCCTTCCAGCTCCCTGCCTGTGGCCCGGGAAAGCAGTCGAGGACAGTCCAAAGCTTTGGGACCCTGCACCCGCGCGGGAGACCCGGAAGAGGCTCCTGGCTTCGGATTGGCATAGTATCGACCCGTTGCGCTCACTTGGGGAGTGAATCATCGGACGGAAGATCTTCCTCTCTGTCTCTCCTCTCTGTATATCCGCCTTTCCAATGAAAAAATAATAAAAATAAATCTTAAAAAAAAAAAAAAAAAACTCAAATTAAAATGAAAAACCTCTTTCCAGAAGTTAAGAGTGGGGAACAAGAAAACGTGTTCAAAATGTTAACAGTTAGGGAATCAGAGTGAAAACTATCATGGAATGTATTAATACTATTTTATTTGTCTTTTTTTAAAGATAAGAATTATAGGGCCCGACGGCCTAGCAGCTAAAGTCCTCGCCTTGAACACGCCAGGATCCCATATGGGCACCGGTTCTAATCCCAGCAGCTCCACTTCCCATCCAGCTCCCTGCTTGTGGCCTGGGAAAGCAGTCGAGGACGGCCCAAGGCT